TGTCTACATAAAAAGATGTCACCAAGCAACTGACACATGCATGAGCCAGCGTAGAAGGATTATCCCAAAGAACAAGGAACAAGAGGTGAGTGGGCATATATATATAATATATATATTGTCACATAACTATGAACAAAAAGAGAGTTTGAAGAGCAGAGAGCTCTATTGGAAACTATTAACACAGCTGTAGTGAAATAAGCTCAGTCTGTAAGGATCAGAAGCGAAACAGGGTAATGCTCCCAGCACTCAGTTACTTTCGGGCTGTTTGTGAGGATTCCCGGCCTCAATGTTTGTTCACATTGATAATGGAAATGCTCTACTTTTTCCCCAAAAAAAACTAAGAGAGCGCACTTTGTGAAACAAACAGCAAAAACAAAAAATTAAAAAACAAGACAAATGTGTGTGAGTTGAAGGACACTACAGCCATGCAGGGGTGGGGTGGATATCACGACCGGCATGGATCCACTTTTGTACACAGTGCCATGGCTGGAGTGGTTAAGAGACTCGGCTCTTGAGGCTGACGGCGCCGGTTCAAATCCGTGCGTGCACGGAGGAGGTCCTGTGGCTGATAAAGTGCAAGCATGAAGGGCACACTGAAACCATTCATTTTTCTCATTCTTCTTTTAACTCCCCCTTCACCGTGCCTCTCACGTACAAGGCTCGCCACGTTGATGAAGCTGGGCGCGAGCTGCCCCCATCGCTGTATACCATAACAGCCCCCTTGTACGCTTTGAGAAAGAGGCAGAGTGAAGCGGGAGGGGATAAATACAGGGAGGAGAGATGGAGAGCAGACGAACAAAGAATGATAAGCGAAAGTGAGGGAAAGTACAGAGTGTGGAGTGAAGATGAAGGCAAAAGAGGATAAGAAAAGGCTCAAGAATGAGTCTGTCCTTGACAACAGAGACCACATACATTGTAACGATGAGGTGGATGAACACATGGAAGACCTAGCCGAGCATTCTCAGTGCAACAATTGCCACGACGGCTGGGATGGAGCATGCCCACCATACACCCCCGACAAATGGCATGTCGATTGTAGGCCAAAATGAAGGAAGAACGGTCACCACAAAAGACCATGCATTCAGTATAGCGCCCATGGCCACAAAATGGACATACAGTGTCCAGATGTGGAAGGTGCCTGCAGTCAGGAACGGAGGGACAGTCCTCTGCACACATGGATGCAGAAACCATGTCATTGTAGTGATTGTGACAGAGACGATGGCGGCTACAGCCGTGTCTAACAGTGTATGTAGCTATGCAAAAGAGAAGGTCACAGAGTGTTGGTACATTGTGTTGCTGCAGCACGCGGCCAGTATGTATGCATGTATGTATGTATGTATGTATGTATGTATGTATGTGCGTATGTATGTATGTATATTAGAGCAGTAGGGAGAGCAACAACTCATCATACCATTTGCAAAGAGGAATGAGTGGAAGAGCACCAAGCCGTAGGGAGGCTAGAGAGTGGGGCGAAGGGGGAGGAGGGCATATGCCACTAAACAGATCGTTCCTTCCTTTCCTTATTGCAGGTGCTAGTAGTCTTCGTATTGTTGGTTTACCTTTCATGACAGCGGGCCATACAAAGTTTCAAGTACAAACTCTAGCTCAGAGGGACTCCGGAGCTTCGCCATTTTTGCACCAAACTCAGCAGGCAGAGGTGAGGTGTCTCTCGCAACAATGTGACCAGAATCCATTTCTGACAACGGAAGAGGTTTTTCCAAACACAAACACCTCAGCCACCCCAAGCCTGTGAGCTGAATAGTGTGCTCAGTGCTGACTTTCACCTTAAGCTGGGCTACTCAACCTTGTTCCTGGTTGAGAATACCTACTCCCTCTGTTCATGGCATCTGGACTCAAACTCGGGTCTGGATTTCAGCAGTTCGTGGGTGTACCAACTGCGCAAGGCCCGTCGGATTCTTTGGGTGCTGGGCGCGCCAAGTTCTTTTGTGCAAGGGACAAAATCACAGTTCACCACTAAGAGAGGGGACGGAGCGATAGTGTTACGGACTCCGCCAGGGCTCGACCCCTGGTCTATTTTGTTGCTGTTTTTGCTACATCCCGTTTTTGGCCTGGCACCCTTTTTCCAAACCCCTCCTTTGGTACCGTCGGGTTTTGGACAACTGGCGCCATGCTACAATTCGGGCGCCACTTTCAAATACCGCATTTTTCAGTTCTGCCCTTGGGGCTTTTGCAGAGATGCCCCTGGTACCGTACGTGTCACCGGCACTTATACCGGTTCCCCGTACAGTACGGGCAACCAGTTTCGTACCAGATTCAGCTGCTGTACCCGTACTCAGTGTGACTTGCTTCCGTTTTCGGCATTCGGAATCCAAGACTTCGACTTTGTGTCCTTGCCACTGTGTCTGCGTACGACCCTCAGTCGTATCGAGTGAGTGAGTGCATGTGTGTGCTCTCACTCTCTCCCTCTCTCTCCCCTCTCCCTCGGCTCTCCCTGTCTCCCTCAGCCTCGCGCTCGTTACAGATAGAGGAGAGGAGCTACTGCGGCAGTGGGATTTGAACCCATGACCTGTCCCTACCATGTTCCGCCAAATAGAACATCTGGTCGTTATAGTTGTGCAAACAGATGTCGAATAATCCGACGCATAATGCAACAGACAGATGCATAATGCAACTGACTCTGAGCAAGAGAACAGAGAGCGACGAAGTAACATAGGGTTGGGCGCGACCTCCGAGACTGCTATTCTTTTTCTCTGCAGACGCATTCCAAACTACCAGTTGTTAAAACATGAGTGAAAGACGTCGCATAATCCGACGCAGAACGTAAACGAATGCATGATGAAACCGATACTTAGAAAGGGAACAGAGAGCGAGCACGTAATACAGGGTCGGGCAGACCTCCAAGGGCAACTATTTTCTGCTCTTTCGTTCAGACGGTGTCCTTCGGGACATCTGTTAAAATCGGAACGACAACGTCAAGGGATTACATCATTACACGCATACATCGGAGAAAAAGATCCATTTTTTTTTTCTGAACAATAAATAAATGAGCGAGTTCAGAATCTTCACACATGGAGATGGATCCAGCAATACCTGTGCCACACGCCATTCGAAAAAGTTGCGAAGAGCAAATGCTTCACCAAAGCAAAAGACCGGGACAAGGGATGCGCCGGCCTCCATTGCTTCCCTGATGAACCCTCTCTTCCTCGAACATAAGACGACCTGTTTCTTCTCACGGGGGCAATGATACACAAGCTCAGACTGCACAAAACAACCGGCAAGTTCGGCGGCAACAAAGAAAACGATACCAAGTAGAACCGTACCGTTCCAGTGGCAAAAGAGTCAGTAAGCTCGCCCGCTTTGCTCCAGCAAGTAGATTGTACTGTATTGTGGAAGTCTTGCTCACAGCAGAACCACGAAAAAGCAACAATCGACGACACAAGACAGAGTAACACAGAGTAGACCTCTTTCTCCCAGGCACAGACAGACAAATGCTCATCAGTGCCAACATCCTTGCCTTTTTTCTTTTTGCTGTATGGTTTCTCTGCCACTGCCGCATCTATCTGATGCCATGATATTTCATCGTCCGTCTATCAACAGTGACACACGTGAGCCATTTGGCCACGTGGGCTGGATCTAAACCGGGCGTGACGTCGGGACCCGGGCGACCGGGATATCTCCATAGCAAAAAAGAACATATTCTTTTTTAATTTTATTTCTTACTTTTTTTTTTCTTCTTTTTCTTTTTTTAACAAACATTTGCCCCTTCTATTCTGAGGGGACTCAGTCCGGTTGCTCATCACCGGCAACAACTGAAAAGGGGGAGAAACAGACGGGACAGAGGGTCAGCCCATCCCTTGTGGCATTAATAATTGGGCAAATTTTTTATTATTATTATTTTTTTTCCTAGGCTACCAGAATGGCCAGGGGTCACTCGCCCGGCCGGGTCAAAAACAATTAAAAAAGTAAAAATAAAAACAATGTTTTTAAATTTTATTTTTTTTCTAAATTTGGTGAAGAATTTCGATGTCACCCCGAGGCAAAAGTTGTTCAGTTTATTTTTCTGCATAACATAGTTTTTTTCGGATTTTCTGGATTTTTCTTTTTATTTTTTTTTTGCTGGGACCTTCCCTGGTCCTTGCACGGGCTGGCCACCCGGGACCTGGGCTGCCCGGCTGGTAGCCAAATTTTTTTCTTTTTTTTTAACGCCCGTCTCTCTTCCATTAGCAGGGCACAGTGCCCAAGGCCACATGCAAGAACACCAACTGGGGTTGACGTTTCTGCACAACATAGTTTTTTTTCGGATTTTTAAACATTTTTTGGAATTGTTTTCTTCTTGTGGACCTTCCCTGGCCAGTCGGACCGCCCGGGCCACCAAGGTGCCCCGGGCGGCCCGTCAGTGACGCAGAACAGAAAGCAATTACATTGGCATTATTGGCAACGTAATGGAGAAGCAGAAACAAAAACAGTCCACAGCAATCGAACCACGGTCACAAATTTAATTGCAAATGGAACGAAGGTAGAGGAACCAACAACAGCAATATCAGTACCAACGGGCCCGACCTCAGCAGGGACGCCTATGAAGTTACGAACTGTTGAATACAGATCCGAGTTCGAACCCGGACACAACCAACTAGGTGATCAGAATCAAATCATTCGGAATTTGCCAATCTCGGGCCGGTGATCTGAAGGCTGTAGCTCTGTGCGAGAGAGTGAGAGAGCGAGAGCGACCGAGCGGGAGAGAGAGGGGGAGAGAGAGAGAGAGAGAGAGAGAGAGAGAGAGAGAGAGAGAGAGAGAGAGAGAGAGAGAGAGAGAGAGAGAGAGAGAGA